AGAGGCTAGCCGAGCAGCTGAAGTTGAACCATCATTATCGGCTCATTAGCGAGGGATACCTGCTCATGATGGCAGAAGGCGGGGCTGCGAAATGGATGCCGAAGATGCGGAAGACAGTTGAGATAGTGCTGCAACTGGGGAAGAAGGAGGAATGTGCAGTAAGAATCCAGTGTGGAGTGTCCCAGTCCGAGGACTACGACCTGCTGCTGGGGGTACAAGATAGGCGCAACAATCTGCATGTGTGACGAGGCCACGTCATACAGAGTGAAATACTGGAATAAGCAGGGACTTCTGGGATAGCTGCCAGTGAGCTTCATTTAACGGGAGCCGCGAGAAGCCTTCCAGGTGGCGACCGTGACCGCAGCAGAGGAAGTAGGCCAATGGGACTGGAGAGAGTACGAAGCAGACAAAGCCAGCCGGGAAGTAAGGATGGGGCGATGGGGAGCGAACCTAGATCTGCGAGAATTATGTGTCAACACCAAGGCTTCAGCGGACCATAGTGCTCCTGGAACTGTTCGCAGGGGTGACGACAGGGCTGGTGGCAGCGATGAAGGAAGGACTGACAGTGGAAAAGTACATTTTTGTGGAACCAGATCTGGCAGCAAATTGCATGGCATGGCACCAGATCAAGCTGCTACAAGAACGATACCCCTCCCACTTTACAACAGAGGCAGTAGAGGCAGGGGCAGTATGGAGGTGCGACGATGTACGTAAGATCGACGAGCACTGCCTGGAATAGTGGGGACAGATCGATCTGATCATAGCAGGATGGGAATGCAAGGGCTACTCTCGCGCAGGAAGAGGGCAAGGCATGTAAGATTCCTAGAGTGGACTATTCCATGAGATGGCACGAGTGCTCTGCCTATTCAAAGAGCGACAAGGCAAAGTACTATACATCATCGAGAATGTGCACATGACACAGGACCCACGGGAGAAGGTGCAGAGGGCGCACAAGGAAGTGACAGGTGTGCTGGGAACAGGTGTGACGTGGAACGCTGTCCAGACAGGGAGTCGAGCGCACCGGGTGCTAACCTACTGGCAAAACGGGTTACCAGAGGCAGCCGTTCATTACCACCTGTCAATGATGGAGACGCCCAAACCGAGGCTAGTGGAGGATATACTGGAATCTTGAAGGAAGCCCTCGTGGCAGATTACGACTGGCAGTACAGATGCAACAAGGTCGGGCAGCTATGGGAGGCCTGGACGACGCTGGTATAGCCTATGAAGGCGGATACGGGTTCAGGATGGAGTGGGGGCAGCTATTAGAAATAGACTGCAAATACCACTTTTGTATTTGTACTTTTATATCCTAGTTTAGGTTATGAATGTTCTACTGGGTTGGGGTGTACTCACAAATCCCAACCTCACCCAATTGTGATCCCCCCAATCTCCAATGACCCAATTAGAGATTCAGGAGATCCCAATAGGGGATTCCCTCCAATTCCCCCTTCATCCATTCACTCTCACCTTGCCATGTACTTATAGAGCCTTGGGCTCCTTACCTAATCAATCATTTCAACTCTATTTCTTACATAGTATCAGAGCAACCTATCCGCACACACGGTTCAAGGTCCTAATCTGAACGTGCCCGCGCTACGCGCACTTCATCGTCGCGACATTCGTTTCGAGTCGTCGGAATTTCGACGTGCTCCACTCTGTAGTCGCGCCTCTCATCGTCGACTGCCTTCGCGCTCGACCTCGTTGAATTTCTCATCTCTGAAGTGTTCACGCTTCTCATCGTTGATTTCCTCCTCGGTTCTCCTTGGTCGAATCTCAATTTCGACCATCTCTTAAAACTCGTTCTCGAGTTTCCCCTCAGACCCCGCCAGAACAGGCGAACTCTCCTCGCGAAATCGCCTCCACGAACGTCTCGCGTCAAGCAAGAGCAGGTACACAGGTTGAAGCGGAGCGGAGTTGGTTGCGGAGCTGGTTGCGGAGCTAGTTGCGGAGCTGGTTGCGGAGCTGTGTAGCTGCGGGACAGGGCCTGGGGGTGTGTGGAGGGGTGTGTGCGTCCGGGGTTAGACATAGGCTCAGATTCGGTTTCAAGTCGGCGTTTTAACAAATTTTTGCCGACGCCATTTCCTACTTAGCGGCATTTTGATAAAGCCCTCAGAGTGATTTTCAGCAATTCTCGTCGACCAATTTCCAGAAGTGCCGCGCTGCACACCAACAATGGCTTACTCAACCACTTCACTCGCCAACCCGATCCCGCTCCTTCGTCTCGAGCCGGACGGCACATGCTCCTATTACAAGGCTTGGCGCTATGGTATCGACAAGCACCTCCTCAGTCGCGAGGTGAAGGGGCTCGAGCTCACCGACGTCCTTCTCAACATCGGTGACGGCAAAGAGCCTCCTAAATCCGAGAGGTCCGCCGATCCAGCTAATGCCGCTGCCGAAGAAGTTTATGCTGCTGCACTGCTCAAGTACAAGAATTGGGAGAAGGCCGATGGTGCGGTCATTAGTGTCTTCATGGGCACTACTCCTCCCGAACTCGTCGAAACCTACCACAACTACCCGTCTGCCAACGCCATTTGGCTCTACCTCGAAGATCGCTTCCTGAACAAGACTGCAGTGGGAGTTGCTATACTCATCCCCAGCATGTTCCAAGTGCGGCTCGAGGACTCGCCAGGCATGGCGGACTATGTCACCAAGGTGCAGTCCATTCATGGTGAACTCAAACAGTTGGGGATAGTCTTCCCCGAGCAAGCCCCTGCAGCCGCTCTCCTAGTCGGCCTCACTCCGGCATACGAAGTCACACGCAAGATGCTCTTGGGCCTTGCTCCTGCAGACCTCACATTTGCCAAGGTTTCATCCGCGCTCCTTTCTGCCGAAAAGGACAACAGCGCTCAAGCCAAGGCCAATGCAATCCGCGCTCCCGTGCCTCAAGCCTATGCCGCTTCGGCGCCATTCCAGCGCAACCGCTTCCCCCCGTGTCCCTACGTCATCAAGCGCGGCCCTCGTGCTGGCCAGGTGTGTGGCGGCACCAACCACGCCCTTGCCTCCTGCTTTAAGAAGAAGGATGATGAGTGGTATGCCGTCAATGGGACCGCCTCGAAGCCGCCAAGCTGGATGGTCAATTGTGCTCCTCGCCAAGTCAATCAAGTCGAAGCGCAGGAATCCGTGCAGGCTGCTGTGGCTGCACCTGCTGATGTGCGCCTCAACATGTTGTTCCCTGGCACTGCCATGATTAATGAGACGATTTCGCAGTATCCTGGCTCACAAAGCACCTCAGCCACAATAGAGTTCACCCTCGACAGTGGGGCCACTCACACGGTTCTCAAGGAAGAACACTCCTTCAAGCCATACGAGACACCAATCCGTCTACTTGGAGCAGACTCCAGTTTCACAACACACGCCAAGGGCTCCTCCGCAGTTCCATGCCCAGCTTTTCCTTCGGATACTGTGACTTGCATGTCTGTTCCCACACTACGCCACAATCTCGTTGCCCAACACGAGCTCCAACGGGCAGGCGTCACAACGATCTTCCCAGCACACTCGGATCATTATGACCTCTTCGACCCTAAGTCCAACAAGCTCCTAGCACGCTTCACACTCAACAGTAGCAAGCTCTACATGCTGCGTTCACCTGCACCTCTCGCCGCCCTCTCCCAAGCGCAAGCTGCCAGCACCACTCCGTGTTCGTGTCGCATCTTCGCCAACCCAACCATCCTCTACCACCATCGCTTGGGTCACCCCAACTTCCGTACACTTGCCGACATCGCTTCCAAGAAACTTCTTCTTGGCCTCCCGTCGGCGCTTCCTCCACCAACAGACTCGCCTGCACCCACCTGCCTGGACTGCACCAAGAGCAAGCTCAGGCAGCAGCCGCACCCTTCCTCCCCATCCGTCGCAGCTGCTCCGCTGGACCTAGTGCACATGGATGTCTGGGGCCCAGCTCCAGTCGCATCCCGAGGCGGTCATCGGTACTTTCTTACACTAGTCGATGACCACTCGCGGTATGTTTTTGTGCACCTCCTGCATACCAAGGCGGAGGCACCTGATGTCATCATGGGGTGGGTGCGCCAGACTCAAGCCACGTTCGGCACTCCTCTGAAGTGCCTCCATTCTGATGGCGGGGGAGAATTTCGCAATGGCAAACTCGATAACTTCTGTGCGGCCCAAGGGATTCGGCAAACCTTCACGCTCCCCGAAAGCCCGCAGCAGAACGGCATTGCAGAGAGCCGCAACCACACCTTGGTTCAGATCGCTCGCTGCCTCCTCAGTCACGCCAACGCACCACGGTTACTCTGGGGATATGCCCTCTTCCATGCGGCACTCCTCTACCATCTTTATCCGCATCCCCCACCGGCCCGACACCACACCTACCGCTCTGTGGCTTGGGGTCACGCCTTCCGCCCGCTCTCTACGCGTCTGGGGGTGTACCGCGTATGTGTTGCTAAGCCCCCACATGCTCAGGAAGCAAGGTGGCAAGCTTGGTCCCAAAACCAGACCTGCATGTACCTGGGGCACAACTCCGACTCCCCATACTACTTATTCCTCAACCCAATCACCAGACAGCTGATTCGCAGCCGTGATGTCGTCTTCGATGAGACACGCCCATTCCACTCTGCGACCACGGGCGAGCCTCCTCCATCTCCCCCGACGCTTGTTTGGGCAGACTTCCCTTCACCTCGCGACTGAGGAGGTGCTTGTCGACACCATAGCGCCAAGCCTTGTAGTTGGAGCATGTGCCGTCCGGCTCGAGACGAAGGAGCGGGATCGGGTTGGCGAGTGAAGTGGTTGAGTAAGCCATTGTCGGTGTGCAGCGCGGCACTTCTCGAAATTGGTCGACGAGAATTGCTGAAAATCACTCTGACGGCTTCATCAAAATGCCGCTAAGTAGGAAATGGCGTCGGCGAAATTTCGTTAAAACGCCGACTTGAAACTGAATCTGAGCCTATGTCTAACCCCGGACCCACACACCCCCCCACACACCCTCAGGCCCTGTCCTGCAGCTACACAGCTCCGCAACCTGGGAATGCATATTGAGCGGGATACTGAACGTGGCTGGCTCAAACTGCATCAGGGACAGTACATCAACACCTTGGCTGAGAAGTACTCTCTGCAGGAAGAACGGGAAGTGGTCACACCTTTGCCTTCCGAGTTCAAACTCATAAAGGCAGCTGAAGGAGAAGGAGTTGAGAGTGAAGACCAGAGGCAATTCCAATCCATGGTCGGGAACCTACTCTACGCTGCTGTGCATACTCGGCCTGACAGCAGCTTTGCTGTGGGACAGCTGGCTCGAGTAGTGCAAAATCCAACAGAAGAGCAGTGTGGTGCAGCGAAGAGAGTGGTGCGCTACCTCAAGTCATACCCTACAGTGGGAGTACAGTATTCAGCCTCTGCTCAACTCAGTCAAAAAAGAATTGAAGTCCTCAAAGAGAAGGGGGAGCAGCTCGGAGAAGGAAAGGTGTTCCTTTCCTGTTTTGCTGATGCCACGTGGGCTTCTGAGCATGAGGATTCATCATCAGTTGGTGGATACATCTGCATGGTGGGAGGTGGGCCTGTAAGTTGGAGGTCCAAGAAGCAGTCTGAGACGGCACTATCTTCAGTGGAATCTGAGTACATGGCGATGTTTCATGCGGCAAAAGAAATCATCTGGCTAAGGAGGCTCTTGAAGGAGATCGGCCATGAACAGACTTGTGCGACACCTCTGTTCAGTGATAGCAAGGGAGCCATTGCCATGGCACGCAATGCAGTTCTTCATGGGTTGAACAAGCACATGAGGATCATGTGGCATTGGCTGCGGAAGGAGGTGAAGCTTGGGACACTGGATCCGATCTACGTGAAAACTCAGCAACAGCCAGCCGACTTCCTTACCAAGCGGCTAGCTGAAGAGCCACACTGGCGCTGTGCGAGGATGGCGGGAATGTCCTTGAACTAGAGACGGCGAAACAAGCCGACAGTCTGAGGGGGAGTGTGTTGGTGCATATTCATTTGCACGTCATCCTGTCGTCTGTTCGCATCATTTCGTTTGCATGTGTTTTGTGTGCTACGTTGTTTGTATGGTTTGTTGGGTTTGCATGTCTTTGCATGTTCATCTTGTGCTTGTGCAGATGTGCTTGGATTGTGCATGACATCGAGCACATTCCAACGAGCCAAGAATTGTTGGAATCGGAGCACATATGAAGAAGTTACGAAGAAATGTTTGATGGATTTGTTACAACTCATTGGAAGTCCTTGTCAGCTGCTACACCAAAGTTGGAGAGCCCTATAACGAGGAGGGACCAGCATGTGTGGGACTTTTGTCCCCACCTTGCAGCTGCAGCATTTGGGGTTTGGAGGCCAACCTGGCACAGTGTGAAATTTGTCTTGCCAGGCTGGCTGAACCTGAGGATGGGGAGTCAAAACTTTGACTCTTGTCATGTTCTTGACCATGGGCCTCCAGGGTCCTTCCCTTTCATCCTTCACTTCCTACCCCACCTTCCAACTGTGTTTCAATGCCTTTTCTATCATGCCTCTGATCTTGTAAGCTTCAATCATAGTGACTCTGAGGACTGTCAACTTCTCCTAGGGCAGATTACCCCCCAGTGCGCCAAACGCCATAGCTCACTCGTTTAGCTACGGAATCGAGTGATTCAACTTTCAGTGGAAAGCTGACACTGCCAGCTACAACATATCCGATTTTCAGATCGTTTCACCGATTGGAGTTTTTGATATAGCTATTCGAAGGTCGCGAGTTTTCTGGGCGTCATAACGAAGTGCTGCAGAAATTTCCAAGGAGCCATTGAATCATCTGCTTATAGCCTTCTCTAACCAACAAGTGGTATCAGAGCCTATTATCACGCATTTGGGACCTAAAATACGATGGGAGATAAAGAGGACTCTGGTGGAGGTGATACTTCAGTCCAAGGAGGCAGCTCAACCCAAGATTCTGGCATTGCAGCGCAAAGGGGAGCGCGTACAAGCCAGGGGTCACTGCTTAAGGAGGTGCTGAAGAACTTCACCATTGAGAAGTTCTCTGGAGATGGCTATGATGATTGGGCATGGAAGATGCAGCTCTACTTTCGACAAATTGGCCTCTTGAAGCTCATGATTGGAACGGAGCCAAGGCCAAAGGAAATGGCAGAGCAAGCGGACTGGGATGAACGTTCATCTGCTGGGTACTATCTACTGTCACAAAGCTTGGAGCTGAACCAGAGGCATCACATCATGCATCTGCTACCGGAAATTGATTGTGGGCCCAAGGCATGGGCAGTGCTCAAGGACCTGCACGCTCCGACATCGGTTGCCGCTTCTCTCATGCTGGATCGGGAGCTGTCCATGCTGCGGTTGAGCGAGAATGAAGCTGTGCAGCCCGTACTGGACAAGATGAGGGAACTCTACGCGAAATTGGCGATTGCAGGCATCACGTACCCAGAGCAGACAAAGTGTCTCAAGATGCTCAGCCTGCTGCCGGAGTCTTGGCTGCAATTTATAAGCGGACTCAGCTTGCCACAAAACCAAAGTCAATGGACATTGGAGTGGATTCGCACCAAGATTCTGGAAGAAGATTTTCGTCGCTATACACTGCGCGGAGGTGATGACAGCACCAGCGGCTATGCCATGCAAGGGACATGGAGGGATCGAGGGCGTGGCAATCGCGGTCGCTCTTACCACAGCCAAGGTGGTCGCGGGACTTGGAACCAGCGGGGGCGTGGTGGCGCTGGTGCAAGAGGAAGAGGTGGTCACTCCAACAATGACAACAGTGAACCACGCTTGAGGGGAGAGTGCTGGTATTGCAAGGAAGAAGGGCATCCATGGTTTCGCTGCCCTACCAAGCCCGACTGGTGGACCCCTTGGAACCAATCGGAGAAGGGGAATGGAGGAAAACAACCACATGGAGGTGCCAACATGGTAGCTGATCCTGCTGAAGAAACCTCCAAGGATGACAGAGGAATGCGAAATGAGGAGAGGAATGCTGGACAGTTCTACCATGTGTGTGACAAAGATGACAGTGGCACAGCTGTTGCAAGGGCTGGAGAGGAATTGCACCCGCTTGACATGTGGGTCATGGACTCTGGTGCTGCATGGACAATGACACCACGCAAGGACTTGCTGGATGCTGTGCGAGCGCCTCCAATCTCTGAAGTGCGCTCAGCATCCGGACATGCAGTGAAGGTCGCTGGAGTTGGTCGAGCTGCATTCAGAGCACCTGATGGTGGACTGGTTGTGCTGAAGGATGTGTTACTCGTACCGGGGCTGAAGGCCAACCTGATATCGCTGCGCAAGCTAGGCCAGGCCGGAGTCAGCACCACCACCAATGGATCCAAAACATTCAAGGGGCTGCGAGGAGATCGTGTGTTATGGGATTTACACGAAAGCAGAGATGTCTTCAGATCCATGTGGCAGATCCCTGCACTGATATGGGAATCAACAAAGAAGGAGTTGGGAGAAGTAAAGGCGGGTTCTGGAGTCCAGGGGGAGTGTAATGCAGTTAGTGCTGCAGGAGTGACGGTTTCTGCAAGGTCGGGGGAGACTGATTGGGAAACCGCACACAGGCGTCTAGGGCATGTGGCTATGCCATTGCTGCAGCAACTGCATAAGGAAGAAGCAGTAAAGGGGCTCAAGCTTTCTGGGCAACCAAATGCTACCAAGTGCGAGACGTGTCTGCTGAGCAAGTTCACACGGTTCCCCTTTCACGGCGTAGCTGGGAAAAGCAAGGCAGCACTGGAACTGGTGCACATGGACCTCGTAGGACCTTTTCCAGTCCGAGGAAGTAAGGGGGAAAGGTACTTCCTGACAATAGTTGATGACTGGAGTCGGCTGATGTGGGCATACCCGTTGAAGCAGAAGGATCATGCTGCCTCAACAATACGAGATGATTGGCTGCCGTTCGTCGAGCGACAATCTGGGCACCCATGCAAGAGCATCAGAACCGACCGAGGTGGAGAGTTTCTAGGAGGAGATCTGACTGCGTGGCTCAAGAAACAAGGCATTGAGCATCAGCTAACGACGTCCTATACCCCTCAGTCAAATGGCGTTGCTGAGAGGGCTAATAGGACCATCCTGGAAACTGCGCGAGCGCTGCTGATCGAATCAGGGCTGGGGAACTCCATGTGGCCTCATGCGGTGAGGCATGCTACAGTGGCAAGGAACCGCGTACTCACAAAGGTGGCTGATGATATGTGGGTGCCGCTGGAGAGGTGGCTTGGAAAGAAGCCTCCAGTGGACATGCTTCGAGTGTTCGGATGCATGGCAGTGGCGCATGTCCCTAAACCGTACAGGACAAAGCTTGGAGCATCTGCACTTTGGTGTGTGCACCTTGGGCTTGCGGCAGAGAGCAAGGGGTGGCTACTCTGGGAGCCCTCAAAGAATGTGCTGTTTGATAGTCGGGATGTCAAATTTGTGGAGAACATCATGTATGGCAAGTGGGAGAAGCAGCCGGAGGCAAGGGTCACCCAGCAGCTGGAAGAGATCACTATGCACTTCGATCTGTCCGAACCTGAGGACAGCGAAGTCACTGCGCCAACGGCAAGCGGTACTGATGAAGGAAGCAATGAGGATATTGCAGCTGATGCTGAAGTCAAGGATCCGGAGCAGCAGCAGCAAGAGGCTTCCAAAACACCAAGTCTGCCAAAGCGAAGGAAACAGATTGGTGGGGGGACAAAGGATTGGGTGAAGGTGAAAGAATGGGTAAATCCAACCATCTACCCTGCACGTACCAGAATGGCAATGAGAAAGCTGTTGAGCTCCACAAGTGGAGGAGCCACAACTGAGCAGCAGGAACAGGCTCAAGGCGAAGATGCAGTGCTGTTCTTGGGTGATGACCAAGAGTCAGATGACAAGGAGCCTGCATACTGCTTTTACGCACCAATACAACCTCCGAGCATGGATCATGCGCTAGCCGGGCCTCAACGGGGGAAGTGGCTCGTTTCAAGAGATGCAGAGTACAACAGCAAGATGGAGAATCACACATGGGACCTGGTGTACTTGCCAAATGGGAAGAAGGCAATACAGTGCAAGTGGCTGGCAAAAATCAAGACGACAGGAAACGAAATGATGCGAAATGATGCGAACAGACGACAGGATGACGTGCAAATGAATATGCACCAACAACCAGCTCCGCAACCAGCTCCGCAACCAGCTCCACAACCAGCTCCGCTCCGCTTCAACCGGTGTACCTGCTCTTGCTTGACGCGAGACGTTCGTGGAGGCGATTTCGCGAGGGGAGTTCGCCTATTCTGGCGGGGTCTGAGGGGAAACTCGAGAACGAGTTTTAAGAGATGGTCGAAATTGAGATTCGACCAAGGAGAACCGAAGAGGAAATCGACGACGAGAAGCGAGAACGCTTCAGAGATGAGAAATTCAACGAGGTCGAGCGCGAAGGCGGTCGACGATGAGAGGCGCGACTGCAGAGTGGAGCAAGTCGAAATTCCGACGACTCGAAATGAATGTCGCGACGATGAAGTGCGCGTAGCGCGGGCACGTTAAGATTACGACCTTGACCCGCATGTGCAGATAGGTCGCTCTGACACCATGTAAGAAATAGAGTTGAAATCATTAATTAGGTAAGAAGCCAAAGGCTCCATAAGTACATGGCAAGGTGAGAGAGAATGGATGAAGGAGGGAATCGGAGGGAATCCCAATTGGGATCTCTGGAATCTCCAATTGGGTAATTGGGGATTGGGGGGATCACAATTGGGTGAGGTTGGGATTTGTGAGTACACCCCAACCCATCAGAATATTTATAACCTAAACTATGATATAATAGTACAAATACAAAAGTGGGATTTGCAGTCTATTTCTAACAAGCGTGCGTGCAGGCGCGTCTTATGCGAGAGTTTGACGATTTGTTGTTCTCGTCAGATATTTAGGCAAACCAAAAAGCTCGTGCACTAGAACGGACTGTCTAGCAGGAGAGGCGCAAGCGGAGAGACTAGCCTCAGTGAAAGGATGACCGGTGCGGACTATGCTAGATAAGAGAACAAGCTACATGAAGACTGCATGGCTCACTTTATTAGTCATCTAGAATGGTTGAGAGTGCCTGTATCAGAAAGGCACCATGGTGATAGGCGGTGGAAACGAGAACGCCCAGCCTAAGCCGGCTAGGGGTTGCAACAGCCGACTATTAGAGAGAGCGGTAATGCAAGCCGCAAGAGAGCAGGCCGTGATGCAGAAACTGAGAGGGACACAAAAGTGCTCGGAGCATAGCGCAGGAGTTGGGTGTTGTGCTGCTGAAAGCAAATCGGGCAGAGAGAATAGAACCAGAATTATGTGGCGAAAATTACGATGGCTGAGGGCATGAATGGGGCGCTGGTTTGGCAAATTTCATCAAGAGCACAAGTTCGCTCGCAAAAGCGGGGGAAGCGGCGCTCAGCGAAACTGCCGAATCACGCTTGGCGAACGGTGGCGTGGCAGCACAGAGAAAAGGGAAAATTATCGCGGTTAGGTTTTGCGCCAAGTGTGCTTTTTTGGTCGCCAGAGTTTCATTTGCTAGCAGGTCGCCCACTTTCCCCCTGTCTTTTTATCACAGGTTTTCCAAGACCTGCTTTGTTTCTGGCTGTTCTTGGCTCAAAATGGTTTTTTCCACGAGCTGTAGGCTTTCTTTTGGGCCGACGCACGCCAGTGTTGGCTGCGGAGCGCACGTCACGTCAGTCGGAATTGTCGGTCATCCAAACGGCATCCAACATTTCCGTAGTACAGTAACAAACTGTGCACCTGGCAAGAATTTCATATCGTCGGTGCGGTGTGTGGGTTGATGTGGGAATTTTTGCCGGATGTACAACCCTCATGCAGGCTGCAATGAAATTTCGTATCTCCTGTACAACTAATGCACTTTCTCCACATGCATCGGTAGATCGTCGCCCAGGTGTCCTCTGATGTATCTAATTGGCACCTTGCTAATTCGAACATCAGCCTAGTTGTGAACCCATCCAATGGGCTTCCACGCGGCTCTGTCAGATGCGTGCTGTATTGGAGGGAAATTGCTGGCGGCATCCTAGTATTTGAATATTCCGATGCTGATATAATAATTTGTGGGTTTGCAGCACCATCTGCAACAGAACAGTGTGCTTATACAGGGCGGTTTATGTGCCTCGGTTTCCAAGTGTTGCCAAGGTGCTAAACTATATCTTCGTCTCAGACACAAGTAAAATTGGCAGTAGACTAGGTGACATTCTAGGGAGAGGTGCTATGATGGCCCCTGCTGTAGCCACCGCCTGGTGGCCCGAGAAACTTGTTCGACAGCCTGCAGGAGACTATGGGTGGCTTTGAGGAAGTGGAATAGGACCTGACTTTAGTGGATGTTGGGATGTTCATTGCTGATGGGGGGCAGTACACCTTGTTGGTTAGAGAAGGCTATAAGCAGATGATTCAATGGCTCCTTGGAAATTTCTGCAGCACTTCGTTATGACGCCCAGAAAACTTGCGACCTTCGAAAAGCTATATCCAAAACTCCAATCGGTGAAACGATCTGAAAATCATATATGTTGTAGCTTGCAGCGTCAGCTTTCCTCTGAAAGTTGAATCACTCGATTCCGTAGCTTAACGAGCGAGCTATGGCGTTTGGCGCACTGGGGGGTAATCTGTCCTAGGAGAAGTTGACAATCCTCAGAGTCACTATGATTGAAGCTTACAAGTTCAGAGGCATGATAGAAAAGGCATTGAAGCACAATTGGAAGGTAGGGATGGAAGGGAAGGATGAAAGGGAAGGACCCTGGAGGCCCATGGTCAAGAACATGACAAGAGTCAAAGTCTTGACTCCCCATCCTCAGGTTCAGCCAGCCTGGCAAGACAAAATTCACACTCTACCAGGTTGGCCTCCAAACCCCAAATGCTGCAGCTGCAGGGTGGGGACAAGAGTCCCACACATGCTGGTCCCTCCTCGTTATAGGGCTCTCCAACTTTGGTGTAGCAGCTGACAAGGACTTCCAATGAGTTGTAACAAATCCATCAAACATTTATTCGTAACTTCTTCATATGTGCTCCGATTCCAACAATTCTTGGCTCGTTGGAATGTGCTCGATGTCATGCACAATCCAAGCACATCTGTACAAGCACAAGATGAACATGCAAAGACATGCAAACCCAACAAACCATACAAACAATGTAGCACACAAAACACATGCAACGAAATGATGCGAACAGACGACAGGATGACGTGCAAACGAATATGCACCAACATACCTGCTGGAACACTTGCTATGCCAATCTGCAGCTAGAAGCCGTGGTACACCACTATGGATTTCACATGAAGGAAGTTCACAAAACGAAGGTGGTGGCGATCGGCAAAAGTCTGCAACTAGGCATGAAGCCATATCAATGGCGATGTGTCTACAATAGGGAGCAGAAAGTCAGGCTCTGGAGCATCGTGCAATTGACAGATCACAAGCAAATGAAGCTGGCGCGAGAGACGGGCAACGGCGATTGCCAACTGCGTCAGCCACTTGTATGCGCACAGTGCCAACTTAGTGCGTGCCACACCCCTTAGTGCCCCTGGAAGCGTGGCAGCACTTAGAGTTCAGCCTTAGCATCCGCTACCATCAGGCATGAAAGTGAGTGGAAAATCTTGTATCTTGTGGCAAGTGCTATTCGCGTTCATGCACACGATTTATAACATGCAAACCATACTTTGAGATGTTATAGCCAATCTAAGGAATAGTTAACAGCCGCTATCTCAATCCCGCCCTCTCCCACTCCCCCTCACCCCTGCAGGCTGTGAAAGAGGTGGTCAACGTGGAGAGAATCGGGAAGTGGAAGGATTCCTTCCCACAATTGCCCAAGTTCATGAGTTAGATTCACGAGATCAATTCAGTCCGCTGCTTCAACAGGATGTTCTTCTCCCCGTTCGCCATGAAGCATGTCCTCGTGCACAACTGCCCAATCTTCGCTCTTGACGACGCTTTCTTGGTGAACAACGAGGATGCGAAACTCCACATCGCAGTTTGTAAGGGCGGCAACCAGTTAAATGTCCTGCTCGCGTGGGCATTGGTAAACGTAGGATTGATGGAGCCGGTTCCTCCGTCATTAGTTGGTCTCCTTCCTAGAGTAGGCATCGGGGACTGATGTGGTCATTATAAGCGACCGTGACAAGGGTCTCTTCCCCACCGCCAAGAACAACCATTCGTGGTTTGGGGGAGGGGGACAGAATCACCTATGGCGGATGATGAAGTGCCGCTCTGTGGATAAGTAGCTTGTTCACATAACCAAGTGCAAAAGGAGTGGCCAGAGATGATTGAGTACTTGTTCGGAACGACCCCCGACCCTGGAGAGTCTGACCCTGTTATGGATTTTGACCCCAAAGAGCGAACCACGCGGACAGCCCGCATGACGCCCCGCAAGCTCCGGGGCCAGATGGCACGCCAGACATGCACGAAGGGCGCCGAGATTGGAGGTACAACATTTGGCAGCAGCAGAGGCAAGCGCCACGCGTGGTCAGCGCCAGACGGCAGAGACATACGCGCTCCCAGCGAGGGCCACCGGCAGTGGAAGATCAACCAGTGAACGGGTGGGGGACTGCACTGGGGTGGATGACAGGCAAACGCGCCTCCGGGCGGACAGCAGCCGGGAGATGCCTGCATACCGTTGCAACATGCGACGGGTCCACTGGTGGTCCATGGTTGACTGGACCCCGCCACAGGGCCGCTTGTGTACAGCGACATCATGCGGCGAGTAAGGGAGCGGACCCCAGAGAAGAGGAGCATTAACGAGCGCGAGCTGTGCACGAGAGCTCGAGCCAGGGAGACTGGACAGACTGGGGACGGCAGTGGTGAGAGAGGTCAAGCAGCTGAGGGTGGCAGTGGCGGAGGGGAGGCAAGTGTGGCAGGCAGTAACGGAAGCGACGCAAACGTCTTGGGCAGTAGCGGAGGGGAGGAGAATGCGAGGGGCAGCAGTGGAGGCGATGCAAATGCCTTGGGCCCAGTTTCCGGCAGTAAAGCCAAAGCAGTGAACTGGCGTTCCGTGTGTTTCTTGACTCCCATGCATTGCTCGTAGTCGGTCGTGGTGTCGTCGTTCTCATGACGGGCGGAGCGGGGCATAGCCTCGGGGCATTAACTGCCACAGAACCAACGCAATGGCGGTCCTTGGCCGGTGCAGGTAGGGATAGGTCCGGTTCCTGCTGGCTTTTGCGCGACTGTTTACTCGGGGGACGCATGATGAGAGCCCCGCCCTGACGCTCCTGGCCGAGAAGCATGCCCGTGCAACCGGACGTCGGGTTTTAGCGGCTCAGTCCTGATTCCCTGCTGCTGCTCCCACCGCCGCCTGGCCCACCTTTCCGGTGTCAATGCCGTTGACCGTCAACCTGCCGATAGCCTCAGCGTCCGTCATGGCACCGGTCCACTCATATCGGCCGTCGCTTTGCCGCCAGCATACTGCATACTGCTTTTACGCACCAATACAACCTCCGAGCATGGATCATGCGCTAACCGGGCCTCAACGGGGGATGTGGCTCGTTTCAAGAGATGCAGAGTACAACAGCCAGATGGAGAATCATACATGGGACCTGGTGTACTTGCAAAATGGGAAGAAGGCAATACAGTGCAAGTG